TTTTCCCATTATAAATTTTGCTCTTTGCTCTCGCTATGCGGCCTGCACATCACAATGATTGATACTGAAACAGGAGGTGAGTTTCAATGGAAGATCTGCTAAGAAATTTCTTAACCACTCAACCTCAGAACATGCCTTTTCTAAGGCGATAAGCTCGACCCCATGGTAGACCGACTATGCAAGTTTGTTTGGAAGACTTCCAAGACACAGCACCTCCACCAAGTGTAAAGATATACCACTTGTGGATTTTATTTCATCTGAATCTGATATCCAATTGGCATCAAAATATCCTTCTAATATGGGTGGTGTACTTCCAAACATTAGCCCATAACAATGGTGCCCTTTAAATATCTAGCAACTCTGTCTAATGCTATCTAATGACTCTATCAGGATTATAGTATACCACTCAATCAGTGACAGCATAAGCAATTCAGGCCTTGTACTATTCATTAAGTACATAAGGCTACCAATGATTTGGGCATTCTATTTTGACTCACATGTGTTGTGTATTTTTCTTGAGTTGAGTATTTCCATCATAAGGAGTTGAGACGGTTTTACTGTCTAAATACCCAATTTTCTTAAGAAATTTCAACATATGGTTGTTGTGATAACTTAAGACCATCATTTATCTTAATGATTTTAATCCTAAAATAACATTGCCTCTCCCATATCTTTCATATCAAAATTTGAGGCAAGAAACCTTTTAGTCTTAATTATCATATCCATATTAGCACTAAATTATTACATGTCATCAACATAGAGCCATATTATCACATAAGTGTTGTCTCAAATGATTTAGAATATACACACTTATCTGAATCATTAATTGTATAACCATTTGAGACTAACACTGGTCAAACTTCTCATGCCATTGTTTTGGTGCTTGTTTAGTCCATAAAGAGACTATACCAGTTTGCACACTTTATGCTCATTACCTGGGATAACACAACCTCTGGTTGTTTCATATAAATTTCTTCATCCAGGTCTCCGTTAAGAAAAGCTGTCTTCACATCCATTTGATGTATATGTATTTGTAAATTGCAGCTAAAGCAATTAACACTCTAATTGATGCTATTCTTGTTATAGGAGCATAGTGTCAAAATAATCTATATCTTTCTTTTGTGTATAACCTTTGGCAACCAATCTTGCCTTGTATTTATCAATTGATCCATCAGTTTTTAATTTCTTTTTAAATATCCATTTGCACCCTATTGGTTTAGTTCCTTGAGGCAAATTACACTTCCCATGTATGATTACTCATAATGGACCGATTTCATTATTTACTGCCTCTTTCCAAAGGGATGCATCTCGAGAAGTCATTGCTTCCTCATAAGTCTGAGGATCATCCTCTGTAAGAAGACATAATCATCACCAAAACTTTTGGCCTTTCTAACTCTCTTACTCTTCTTATTTCTAACTCTGAACTTTCAGAAGAATTCTGAAGAGTTTCATTTTGAGAACTCTCACAAGTTTCATTTTGAGGTAAAGCGTTTTCACAATTGATTTTCTAGCAAAAACATTCTAAAAAAAATCTGCATTTTTAGACTCAATGATTGTGTTTGCATCATACAAACCAACCTCTTGCTTTATTACCATGAATCTATAAGCAGCACTGTTCTGAGCATAACCAACAACATACATCACATCCTGGGTCCTAACCTTTTCCTTTTAGGTTTAGGAATTAGGACTTTAGCAAAACACCCCCACACTTTAAAATATATCAGGTTAGGTACATGACCTTTCCAGAGTTCATATGGTGTTTTGCCTGTTTTCTTAAAAGGAATTCTGTTTTGTATGTAACAAGCTGAAAGCATCGCTTCCCCCACAAATTAAAGGTGCTCCAGAAACTAATCAACATAGCATTCACCATTTCTTTTAAGTTCTGTTTTTCCTCTCAGCAACTCCATTAGACCGGGGAGAATAGAAGGTGTATTCTCATGTATAATACCATGATCTCTACAAAAGAATCAAAGTCATTTACTCATATTCAACTCCTCTATCTGTTCTTAACCTTTAATTTTCTTATTGAGTTGATTTTCAACTGCATTTTTATATGTTTAAGAACATTTTAATTGCTTCATCTTTACTACTCAATAAGTATACTCTAGTAATCTAGAGTAATCATCAATAAAAGTTATATAAAACTTTTTTCCTCCTCTGGTCATGGTTTGTTTCAAATCTCCAAGATCACTGTGAATTAAACCAGAAGCTCATTTCTCGTTCTAGAAATGTTTACAAGTCTTTTTAGTGGATTAGATTCCACACACACATCACATTTTCAATATTTGAAAGTAAACCAAGTTCTTTCATCTTTTTCAGATAACCATATCACATGACCTATATCTACCATGCCATAAATCTATTGAATCATAACATAAGCAGAAGAAGATGCATTTTTCATTCATAATAATATTAAGTACACTGAGTTTAAATAACTCTCCGAACAATACCCTTTCCCAACAAGCCCCATTCTTGGACATTAAAATTTTGTCCCCCTCAAAGGAGACTTTCACTCCCCATTTCCCAATACATAAACAGATACAAGATTATATCGAATGTTTGGAACATGTAAAACATTACTCAGTGAGAGGGTTTTCCAGAATAAGTTTGAGAAGAATTTTTCCCTTTCCCATCAAGGGTAGAGTGGGAATCACCAAGGTAAACACATTCTTCTCCATCCCTCACTAGTATATATCTTAGTAAGAATTTCTATCTCCACAAATATGATTTGTGGCCCCAAATCAATATCCATTCTTTCTTTTCAGCAATCATGTTCACTTGTGAGACAACCACAGTAGCAACAACATCATCTCTCCTCAGCCAGATTGGCTTTAGGAGGATTTTTGTTGTCTCCAGTTTTTCTGTATCTACATTGGCTGGCAAAATGTCCAGTTTTCCCACACACAAAACAGTGTCCTTTCTTTTTGAAAGCGTTGGGGTTTTTTGTTGTTAAACAATTTCTTACTATTGTTCTTAAAACTCTGCGGTTTCTTGTTCTTAGGTTGAGGAGGAGCCACTTGGTTTTCAACAACATTAGCCTTGGATGTCAATTCCTTGGCCTTATCGACTTTATCTCTAAGCTTATTCGTCCCTCATCCTATATATACTATCACATCTTCTAAGCTCATTTGCTTTCGCTTATGTTTCATACTATTCTTATAATCTCTCATGATCTGGAAGTTTTTCAATTAAGAACCAGCCACAAAGTTTCAGAAAGATTATTTCTTCATTTTTCAAATCATTTATCAATAAATGATAGTCTGGACTTGCATGGATCCTCTTTTTCTTCTATCATTTTAAAATTTAGGAAGTTTCCTATAGCATATTTTTGTGATCCGCATCCTCAAAACATATTTCTTTTTCAGAATTGCCCATATCTCATGTGCAGTCTTATAAGCGCAATAAACTCATAAACTCATTTGATATGTACTGAGAATAGTATGGCGACATACCTTATTTTCCTTTCTTCCATGTATCAAGTTTTTTGTCAAAATTGTCCACTTCAGGTTTTGGTTTTTTCTGTAGAAATACTCTGCAAAACCGAGCACATCCAAGGAGTCGAATACTTTTTCTTGCCACCCTTGAAATGAGCTTCGGCAAAAGGCTCAATTTTGGAGACTCAAGAATTGATTTGGCAGCGAGAATTGCAGCGTCCATCTTGGAAATATTCTGATCTTAAGATTGTTGGATTTTAACAAAAACTTGGCGTAAAACAGCAGCAGCAAACCAGTGAAAGAACAGTAACAAACAGCAGAAGAACAACATGAAACAGTAGGAAAATGCAAGAGAACAACAGGAAAAATAGCAGAGATACAACAGTGATACAACAAAGAACAACATGAAAAAAGAAAACAACAGCAAGAACAGCTGAGAGACAGTAGCAAGAACAACAGAGAGACAGTTGTGAAATAGCCCGAACACAGCAGCAAGATAGTAGCATCAAGGCTGCAAACGCACTGTCCTTAAGATCAGAATTCCGCCCCTACTAGAAGAATCTTCGTGGTGCAACAGGCTCAACAGCGATTGACCTCCAGGATACAATGAGACATCTTCTTTTAGATTGCACACCTAAAAGAGATTAGAACAATATAAGAAAAATAACAGCGGTAAGGAGAGCTAGAAAGTTAAAAACCACAGAGAAACAAAGAATTTCCAAGTGAAAGTTGTGTTTTCAAATGAGAAAACCACCCCCTTTTTATACTTGAAATCTGCCCGTTTCCCTTGCTGTAACCGAAGTCAATCAATGGCTTTTAAAACCATAACTGCCCATGAATTGCAATAACTTGGAACAATTCATTTGCCTTTCTACGTAACACAACAAAAAAGCAATCTTCAATATCAATTCACATAACAGTCTAAAAGCAATTAAAGTTTCAATTGCTTTTACACATAACAGTCCAAATCACATAATAGTCCAATGCAATTAAAATTTGGTATTTTGAAATACCATACAACAGCTTTTATCGCATATAACACTATTGTTAGGAAAGCCAAGTTCTTTAAATATTTAAATAGTAATTTTTTTCATATCAGATTTAAAAAACACAATTTTTTGTTATGTTACTTTCCCTTATATTGATAGAGACTGAAGGAATTACTACTTACTGCAATGAAATGTGTTTTATTGAGAATAAAGAATACATTTTTATTAAAAACTCTATTGTCCATTTGTCTATAGAATAATAAATATTAAGAACATCCTAATCAACTCAACCAGTCCAATTTGAATCTAGTCGGTAGTTCAAAAATGTATTTAAAAAAAAAAAAAAAAAAACTATAAATTTTTATTTGAAGGAGCCCCACCAAACTCAAGTTGTTGGCTGCTGCCTAACTCAGTCGCTGGTTAGTCAATTTATTATTTTTATTAAAAAAAAAAAAAAAATCGAAATGCAAGGCTAACAAAGGTTCAGCGAAACGCGGCGTTTCGTAATAGAGGACTCCCCGTACTCGCCGAACTGTTACGGTATGCGTCTAAAAGTGTCGGCCGCAGTAAGGCTACAATGAACGGCAATAAAGCGAGGGAGGGAAAAAAGAATATTGATTGCAACTTTGATCTGAAAATGAGCACTAGGGTGGTAGCGGCGGAATCTTGGTTGGAACTCTTAAGGAGAAAAGCAAAACCACGCAATTCTGGAAGTAGAAATTCTAAATCCTCCGATTCCGTTGAGGCTACAGGAAGAGCCGGTTACCGGTTCCCCTTAAAGCAGGCGGTAACCGCCGGCTCACTCGCTTTGACCGTGACACCATCGCTCAGCTCATTGACCGCTGAGAAAGACAATGCTTTGAAACAACATCCACTTCATTCCGATAAGGCGGTCTAATTTTTTTCCATCACCTGTAGATATATATTTAAAAAATATGTATTCATTCGGAAAATGAAAGGATGAGTCGTCTAGTTAAAGATGTGTTTATAACATGCATGGAAATTGGAATGTGTATAAAATGGTTTAAGAATTTTTTATAAGGTGGTCTTATGGAGGAGTTAAAAATTCATCTGGGGTTAAAAGAGTATGTGGTTGGTTATCATAAATGAGAAAACTGAGTTGGCTTAGTCAAGGATGGGTGTAAATGGTTGTGATGTTTTTTAGGAGAGTGCTGATTGGTGCAATTAGATTTGAAATGTGCACTGCTTTTCCTTTAAGATGCATGCGCAGGTGGGGTTTTAATCAATTGGGTATGATTGGTTCTAATGAACTTGATGTGCCATCTTGTTTGGTTTGAAGCTAATAGACTGCATTCCTTAGAAAACCTGGATCAGATTCCTATTCGATTTTGGACGCAAGATAAAAGTATCATTTCTGAAACTCTGTCAATGGAAATACTTGTCCTGTAAGAGTTATAGTTATCGAAAACCTTAAATAAAAAAAATAACTACAATGATAAACAACATAGGAGTTGAGAATTCAAATTTACTTTGTTTATTTTCTTTCCCTCAGCTTCGCTACCAAGAAAATGAAGGTTAATACCTTTAACAACTATCTAAGACTAATCTAACCAGCATCCCCAAGTGTGAAGAAAATTCTATGGCTTCTCTGTATTTCCTAGTTTTCTTATCTTTTTGTTTACACTTGGGGCTTGGAAATATGTTTTATCACTCAGTTACTTTTATATTTAAGCAATTTTTAAACTGTTTTGAGTTTTATTTTGACCAAAATTTCTATCTTAGAATGATTTGTGGGCCATTCTTCTTGATCATGACTGGATCCGTGCTCTGCGGATGACTTCTTATGGATTCCTTTTATATGGCCCTGGTTCTTATGCGTGGTACCAGTTACTTGAGCGTTGTATGCCAAAGCAAACAGTGGAGAATTTATTGCTGAAGGTATAATGTCTTCAGGTTTCACATATAGTGTTTCAATAACAATCTTGTTATGTCGAAATACCAGATTATTCCACAAATGCCTCATGACTTAAAGTCTTTTTAGGTTTTATTAAACCAAATAGTGCTTGGCCCATGTGTGATTGCTGTTGTTTTCGCTTGGAACAATTTATGGCTACGAAAGGTTTCTGAGCTTCCAAACAAGTATAAAAAAGATGCTCTGCCCACACTACTTTATGGTAACAATCTCTTGGAATCATTCTCTTGTTTAATTTATACTGTGCTCTAGCTTTTGGATTTTTAATGTCAACCTCTGATTTCTGTGCAGGATTTAGGTTCTGGATCCCTGTCAGTATATTAAATTTTTGGTACATCTTCTTGGTATTTCTTTTCCTTCAATTTATTTTTGGTGCTTTTGTATGAGAAATTTAAGGCCATGCCTCCAGGAGTCCAGAAACATTAGACCCTTTGGTACACAACAGAACCATTTTTTGCTGCTTTCTCAAGTAACCTGGGTAAATTGGGGGAAAAGCTTGTGTTAGAACATGACCTGTTAACATACATATTTTCTCAATAGGAACCTGATTTTAAAGCGTCTATAACTCACTTATCTTTGTAGCCAGCATGAGCAGTTATGTTAATAAAGAAACTTTTTTGCTTGACCATATATATGTTTCAGAATTCATGTAAACTTTCACAAACTTATTCCACTTTCAAAAGTCACCAAAGTTCAAGTCAAGGTCTGATACTGCATATTTTGTAATTGGTTAATATTGTATATTTGGCAACAAGTTGACTATTGTCTAGACTCTCTGTATGCATTTTGTCATGGTTCTTCCCCATAGACTTTTATTGAATATCTCCCAATGACAATTAATATTAGAGATTGCTAGACTGTAATATGTTTTTACAATAATGATGGCTTGGTAACAGGGTGGTCCCACTTCAAGCTCGTGTAGCTTTCATGTCAATGGGCTCCATATTTTGGAATTTCTATTTATCATCCACTATGAGCAAGTAGATTCTTGTCTACTGGGCTTTTTATCAATGATGTAATAATGAATGGGGGGTGTTGAGTATGAGGTATTTTTCTCACATCAATTTTCTTTTGCAAGTTTGAGCTTGTTAGTTCAGCTTCTTGTTTTATTTTAATTTGTATTGTTTGCCCAAAAATAATGTACTGACCTGAAATCAGGACTTAAGCCGAAGAAAAAAGGTGGGAATGAGAAGATATGATTTCAATTGTGCTCTTCATTTCCTTTTATTAGTTGATGACCTGGAGAGCAGATTACTTGCCCATGTGAGATCCTGAGAAGAGGGCTTTGTTTCTGACTGCAAAGTTACTTGAAATGCATACAGTGAAGATATGTTATTTGTTTGCTTCACTAGCATTCAAATGATTGACTTTTCAGAATTCTCATGAGAATTTCCCTTTCTTTTATTTGGTGTGATTTTCATAATGATTCTCTTTTTCTTTTTTCAATATAAAAGATTTTAGAAATGTTTTGACAGTCCCTCTAGTTGTTAGTCATGAACATAAAAGTTTTATTCATGGTTTTGGGGGGTGGAAAGTGGATGTTCAGAGATTAAATTGGCAAAGTATTTCACTTTCAAAGTTCTGATGGAGAAGTTAATAGCTGGTTTTCTAATTGGTTTCACCTGCTGATCTTTGGTGATACTAGGCTTTAGCTTGTATAGGCAGAACTAGACCTGACAAAACGGGTCTAGACCCGCGGGTCGGCCCGTACCCAGGTAAAAAATATAGAGTACAGGTCTAATAAATTGAACCCCTTTTTTTGGACCTGACCCAACCCTTATAACTGACGGGTTAATGGGGGTGAACCTGCAGGTATCCGTTTTTGCAAAATGTAAAAACTAAAAAGTGACCTGCCCTAACTCAGCAACTCAACTCTATCTTGCGTCGCGCCTCTCATATCTCTCGCGTCTCAATCTTCAACATAAGCCTCTCAATCTCTGATCAGTCAACTGAGTACCTCCCTCTTTGCCATCTTCTTCGTACCTCAACTCCCTCTTCGATTAGTCGTCACTCGTCAGTCATCACTCATCAGTACGGCAGTCACCTGATTCATTCATCCAGTCTGTCATTCTCATTCCCAGTACCACAATCGTCGGTCGCCCTCACTCATCCTCGTCGGTTGGTCATCTCCTCTCTCTCAACTCCCTCTTCGATTAATCGTCAGTCATCAGTACGTTTCTACACATTTGAAATGTATTTTGCCTTGGTTTTTCCGTTTTTTCTTTCAAATTTTGTGTGTTCGTTTTTGTTTTTTTGACACATTTTGTGTTTTCTTTTTTGTTTGAACGATTAATGTAAGTTACTGCATATTTTTGCTCTCGTTTGATTGGGATATGATATGAGTCATATGACAATAGATTTACAGTAACTTAGCAACGATTCTCAACTCTATTGTATTCAAAGAAAGTAGAAATGGGTCCCTGGTCAAACGGTTGGTTTGGTTTTTCTTTGAGTGGCTTTGTGTTTGTGTTGCGTTAATCATATTATAATGGTGATTAGAATAGAGTGATGACATTGCTAATGAGGTTAATTAATTTAAGCACATGAAAAATAATTGGTTAGAGCTCACTTAGATCATTGGATTCTTTCGATATCGCTTTCAATGTTGTTATTTAATCTTCTGGGTACGGCTAGTAGTAGCAAGTAAGACTGCAAGAGCACCAATATTTGTAGAAATTTCTTGAGTCTGTTTTAGAGAATTGATTAGTGAAACATTTAGTTGGAAATCAAGAAGTTTTTGCAATCATTTGCCTTTTCATGGCATCCGAAACGGCATGTATGTTTATAGTATTTATAGTTTTACACTAGTTGGTATGTAGCTGAAGATGACACGTTGAAGAAGAATTGGGTTGTTTTGGTTAGCATTGTCTCATTTGTGATATTCAATATGATGATAATTTTTAGTTTGCTGAATTGGGTGCCAGTAGTTCTAACTTCTGATGAGCTTAATACTTGTCGTTGTTAATTGATGATTTTCATTATGTTTATAGTATTTACAGTTTACACTAGTTGTTATGTAGCTGAAGATGACACGTTGAAGAAGAATTGGGTTGTTTTGGTTAGCATTGTCTCATTTGTGATATTCAATATGATGATAATTTTTAGTTTGCTGAATTGGGTGCCAGTAGTTCTAACTTCTGATGAGCTCAATACTTGTAGTTGTTAATTGATGATTTTCATTAATGGCTTATACAAAGGTGCATCGATTCATATAACAGTGGATCAACAATGATTACGGAAATGACTGTTTGTTGGCTGTGCAATCTTTTTTCCTCACAAGTGTTTGGTCACATGAAACTGTACTAATATTAGCCATTTTTCATAAATGTTTTCATTGGGTTAATAAAAAGAAATTTTCTGGTAGTATTCAGTCTCCACTCTCCAACCGCTTCTTCATAACGTATTTTTACCAACTTAAGTTCTTCCCACTAAGATTTTATTAGCTGGTTCTGTTGTGTGTTATGCAGATATTGCACTTTCAGTTCTCAGTAGTGGTTAGTTGAGGGAATTTATTCGAAATTACTAGAGACATGAAAAGGGAAAAAATCTCTAACCGCCCCTTGGTTCATTTATTTGGACCACCACAATGATCCTGATAATGATATATCACTGAATGAATCTTGTAAATTTTTTAGCAATCTCACTGAAATGAAATGAGTATCTGAATTTAGCAATCCATTTAAGGGAATGAATGACTGAAATTGGAAAGTGGAAAAGATTATGATAATTGGAGTCCTTATGTTGGTTAAAATATAACATATCTTAGCTTTAATGAGTATGTTAAATTTAAAAAATTCAATCATAAACTCCATTAATTAATGAAAAAAAAAATTAAATAATGCAATTGCCAAATCTCGGCAGCAATCCAGAAGCATGTACATCAATTCCCCTTTGCTTTCTTCTTGATAGGATTAGATTATGGTCCACCTTTTGTTCAGCTCTTACCTCAGTTCGCTTTGTGAAAAAGAAATCATGCCTAATGGAAAAGAAATAAAACAATTTTATACAAAAAAAGAAATATATAGTTAATATAATATTTCATATGTTTTATTATTTACATTTATTAATATTTGTAGTTGATCATTGTTTTGTAGATGATGAGGTGAATAATAATTCAGATGATGATCTTGATGTGCCATTAACTAATCTCGGGACTGTGGAATCAAGAGACTCTATCACCCCCACTGTGGGATGAACATTTGTTGTCCTAAAAATGTTTTTTGTTGAATATTGGATTATATTTTAGTTAGTATTTATAGTTTATTGATTTATTTTGTTTGTTTATGTATAATTATGTATTAGTGATTTTGTATTTGTTTATTTTGGTTGGTATTTGTAGTTTTGTATTATATGTTATTGTTTGTTTATTTTGGTTCCATATTTGTTTATATTCTAAATTGAATTGAATTTAGAGTAGTTGATTTAGGGGTGTAAATGTAAAAATTAAAACTGCAGGAATTTTGGGGGTGTAACTGTTATAATTGAAAAACTGTTAGGGGTGAACAGGAAGCTAAAATCTGGAGAGAGAAAAAAACGGGTCCAAACTACCCGTATAGGGTAGGATACGGGTCTAATATTTTAGACCCGTATCCGTGAAGACCCGATCCGTACCAGGTCCGCCCCAACCGTTTTGCCAGGTCTAGGCGAGAACCAACAAAGCCCAATCGTCTTCACGAAGTCGTATCTCTTTTCAAAATTTCCAGCATTTGTTCGAACTTCTTATCCTATTGCTAATCAACCTTTGAACTTTCTATGCTTCAAAATTCATCCGCTATTGAATGTGGGTAGATGTTTGATGAAAAATTACACATTGAAACAAAAGAATCTTAGAAGAGGGAGATCTCAATGAAAGCATCAAACGCTTTTTATGACTATTAAATCTATGATAAAACAAAATTTCAGGTCCCGTTGGTTCCAAAATTTGCGTTCTTTTGTGATCAAAAGGGGTAATGCTAATGCATTGAAAATCACCTGCAAACGTCTATATCGTGGAATATTACATCAATTTCTCTAATACAAATTTGCTCCATGGTCCACACGCCACACCCTCGTTTCAACTGATTCATTTAAAGAAAACTTCCGAATGGTTTATCCTGCTAATGAAAGAATATTGTTTTCCAGATTTTATGCCTCTGTGCTAACAGGAGGCAGAGTTCTTTCAATTGTTTCTCTTAAATTCTCTTTCAGACATATGAGAAGGCCTGAATTCAGAGCACCAAAATGGGAGTAAGTTCAAAATCCTTGAATCAATCTTGAAACACCCTACGAGGTATCATTCGTCCGATCAAAAACAACCTCAGCCCAGTACGTATCATCAAGATTCAGAGATCCCACATTCGAAAAACTCATGGACAAGTACAAGAACTTCCTCAAAGTCATCTCCATTCAAGACCTCATTCTCGCTAACCACCAACAAAAACGACCCCCTTCAGTGTCCCTTGATTTCCTCAATAGACTCTCCCAAAAGCTCCAACTCAATCGCGGCGCCACTGCTTTCTTACGCAAGTATCCCACATTTTTCGTATCTTCTATGATCCCACTAGGTCCCAGCCCTTTGTTAAGCTGACCGAAGTCGCCTTTGAAATTTCCCGCCAAGAGCTGAGCCATCAATGCTTCTTTGCCTCTAGTTGTTGAGAAGTTAGTTAGGTGTTATCAATGTCCACTTCGAAATCTTTGCCTCTACGCGCTGTTTTTAAGGTTTGGAGGGAGCTTGGGCTGCCTGATGATTTTGAGGATTCGGTGATTGCACGAAACTCGAAAAATTTAAGCTTTGCGACGGTAATGAACCAAATACTCATGTGTTGAAACTGTTTGATGAAATGCGTGGGAGGATTTCACTGCGGCAGTTGATAATTGGAGGGTGATGGAGTGTTGTAGAGAGGATTGTGAAGTTAATGGAATGGATTTACATTACAGTTTTAAACAAGGGTTTCCGTCCGGTATGAGGTTGAGTAAAGATTTTAAGGCTAAGGTAAAGGAATGGCAGAGGTTGCCTTACGTGGGGCCGTACGAGGTAATGGGAGAGATAAGAAAACTAAGTCTGGGATTAGAGATCGGAGAAACGGGCAGTTGCTGTTGTGCATGAATTTTTAAGTTTGACAGTGGAGAAGATGGTGGAAGTAGGAAGATTAGTCATTTAGGAAATGGCTTGGGATTGATTTAATATTAGAGATTTGTTCTTGGATCACGCGGGTATATTTTACTTGTCCACCAAAGGGAGAAAACATACTGTTTTTCTGAGGGAGGCGTATGAGAGGGAGTTATTGAGACTAATGTAGTGTATGATTGTAGGAGAAAGCTCTTGATCTTGTTGTTTTGGGTCGTCATGGTTTGATTACTGGTGGTTTTAAATGTGGGGAAGCCAGTAAGAGTGGAGAGTCCGAATCACAGAGAGGATAGTGAATGAAGTAATTGTTTTTCATCTTTTTGAGGTATATCAAAACTGGTATGGTTTACTAGCTGTTTGCCCTGTCTTTTTGTTATTTTTGTCCCTGTTAAAACGTTGGTTAATAATATTGTTGATTCAGAGCGGGGTTCACACGCTAAACTCTTATTATGATAAGGAATTGGAGTGAGATTTTCCCATAGATGATTGAATGAACGGTCTCAATTTGTGAAACTCTTATAACTTCCCCCACTCCCTTTTCCCCTGTGCTTCTAAGGCGAAATTTTAGTTTCTTGAATTATATAACTGTATAAATTATTGAAGTTAATTATTTTTTCTGTCCGTTGGTTTACATTATACATTTTGTTGTGTACCTTAATTTATTAGGCCTTTTTTCTTTTGGGTAAGAACAAGTACTAAAGTGTAAGTTTTATCATCACTGACAAAGCGAGATTCTGGATGTGTGGTTAGTTTCACACTAGATGCACATTTAGAGAAGTCAAAGTGTATAGTCATCCATATTGTTAGCATTGGATGCCTTTCTTAGTTACTTTTGAACTATTTCTCCTTTGTAGATCGTCCAATAGATGAGCATCTTTAAGTTGGAGAAAGAATCACACTTGGATTAGAATAGGAAACTAGAAAAGTAGAAAAGCAAGGAAGCGACAATAGGGCATATTCACTGAGTGACATTCAATAGACGAGGAATAAACTTTTTCTTCATAACTCCACTACATAAAGCTACCAATATTTAATATAACATATATTGGACTTCTGCTGAGAAATTGGACAAAGACACCATGAGTGGCGGCAATTCCACCCAAGTTCAAGAAATTGGCCGGGGACAAGGTTGTGTGCCATGTTCTAACAGTAGTGAGGGAAGCCGTGCACAAGCTCCATTTTCTCAAGCTGGATCTCTTTCCTTCGTGCTGATCCAGTAAGTATACTTCTGCCTTTATAATAGGATCAAGGTAATGATTTTTCTTTGAAATTTCATATCTTGCGGAAGATGATTAATTCGTTTAATTAGTTCTTATTTTGGTTTGGTTATCTAGGGTACCAGCTGGGATGCACCCAATCCACGACCTTTATACGATGAGAGAGTGATAACAGGACCATTCAGCTTAGCTGGGTAAGCATGTTAACTTTTACAAATTCTGTTAAGCTGGTATCTCAGAACTAGTGGAAATCAATTACAACAAATAACAGAACCCCCAACCACATGATCACTGTTCCATTTTCCAACAAGTTAAATTCGTTAACTTTATGTAAATTCGTTTCTTCTACCTGAAACATCATAACCAGTTATTAAGAAAATAGCTATGTGAAACGATCAAAGGATCAATACTTTTGGAATATATATGAATTATGAATTAATTTCAAAAGTTCATTTAGTTTCATGGCTTATGCTGATTGCTCTTATCACAATATGAGCATTGATTTCTATTCCCATTTCTAATTATGGAGTACTTATAGTTTTCCAGTGCCATCACATTCCCCAGTGCATATTTTGGGAATGGAGGTCAACCCTAGTCACAGGCAAATCATCCAGGCATCCCCGCCAGCATTCATAAGACAACAGAATGTGCAAGGTCCAACTCATGACGACAACTCAAAGTTGACTCGAGAGGAGCAGCAAATGGCTTTGAAGAAGTTAAAGAAAGGAGTCTATGATCCCCCTCCAATGAAAATAAGGCCAAATTTATATTACAGACTCGACTCCAAAAACACCGTGAAAGAGATACAAAAGGAAAAAGAAAACGACGTTAAGAGCTGTGCTGTTTGCTTAGAAGATTTCGAGCCAAAAGAGACGGTGATGCTTACACCATGCGAACACATGTTTCATGAAGCCTGTATTGTGCCATGGGTGAGAAGCCAGGGCCAGTGCCCTGTGTGTAGGTTTGTACTCAGTGGGCAAAAGAGAGAGAATAACAGGGTGAATGTTGTAGCAGCCAACGATCCATTTGAAAGGGAGCTTATATCAGTTATAAGGGCTATAGAGGAGGGTACCATATGGGACAGTTTTGCCCGCTTATATCTGACATAACCTTCTTCAAGTTTCCTACTTTTGATATACCGATTCGATCCAAGATCTCTTATTAAGTGAAGATACTTTTTTGTAAATGTATTTAGGAACTTATGAGCTTATACTTGGAAAACCCATCTCCCAATTCCAAGAGATTGCAAAACAAGTTGTATTTGATGAGGAAATAAGTGAAAAGGTTTTTGATCTAAAGTTTTATGTACGCCAGTGGCTAATAAATTATCAATCTAATATATATTAATTATTGTAAATGTATTTAGGAACTTATGAGCTTATACTTGGAAAACCCATCTCCCAATTGCAAGAGATTGCAAACCAAGTTGTATTTGACGAGGAAATAAGTGAAAAGGTTTTTGATCTAAAGTTTTATGTACGCCAGTGGCTAATAAATTATATATATATGTGATGAGGGATGTCTGAACCAGTTTATACACATCTTAATTAATCCCTCGGAACTTTGAAACTATCAGCTGAGTAAGAGCTCTGATAGCGATCTCTATTAGCAATTAAGAAGAGAGTCAAACTCAAAACCTTTTGAATAATACATTCAAGAGTCTCTCTTGAATAATATTATTTACATAAAAACTTTGTTGATGCTTGATTTTGACACCAACGACTCGCACGTGCAAAGTGCTAAGCAGACTTAGAAATTACACGTGATATGAAAATGTGCAATGAAAGAATAAATGAGAAGTGGTTTTTAAAGTGGTTCAGATGCTCAAAAGCGAATCCTACGTCCACTATGGTTGTATTAATGGATGGTTACAGTCAGGTTGTGTATAGCGAGTTGAATTACAATCTATAGAGAATTTAAATGTAGAGAGAGAGTCTACTTTTTCAGACTAAAGATGAGCCAATCCCATAAATGAGAGAGGAGCCCTCTATTTATAGTTGGGGGATTCAAGGTAGTAATCATGATTCTACTGTCGGGCAGGTGTGGTACAATTTCTAACCTGCTTCCTATTGGTTGTCTGCACGGGAGACATCCTTAAATCGCCTAAGGCTTGGGCAGGTGGACAATTCCTAGCCACTCACAAGCCTGGCTCATGAACTCTGATTGGCCCTACTGGCGTGAGCTCACGTCAGCCCTGATTTTTTAGGCATAACAGAAGCCCCATAGTTTTCAAGGTTTAAGAATTGAAACTTGAGAACTTCATGATTATGTCGTGACTTGACTTATCTTGAGTGACGCCTGATCGAGCTGATAGAGCTGTATGAGACAAGCAGTTAAGATAATGTGAAACTAATGGTTCAACCCGACCATCGAGCTATAAGGAGGTGGCAACATAGGTCTCTAAGAATAGCACAAGCGACCTGAGGTGGCCTTCTCCCATAGGTTCAGTGACCTGGGTCGAACCCTACTTAGTGCTATACCAACATGCTTTGGATTTCTTTTGTCGCTCGAGATCGGAAAATACTTAGTAAAAAACTAGGAATCACATCGTCTCGAAATCGATACACGGCGAAGAATGTTTTACTCGAACGACCTCTTCAAATGTTATTCGTTGCGCTTGATAGCTAATCTGGTCAATAAAATAAACTTTATTCTAACAGATGTGTCTATTGCGTAATAAGTGCCAGCCATGCGCATTAGATGCAAGCCATGCTGAAACGACATTCCTTTTCAGAGCATTAAATGTGGATGAGGGCACATTTAATGTGGAGGAGGTAACCACGCCAACGCTTGATTGCTCCAATGGAGGGAAACATTGATTGACATCTATGAAGCGTGAGGGTTACTCTTCTTGTGGATTAACGACATGTGGTCATAATCAATGACAAGAAACGTATCCCGCCCAAGCGTCGCTTGCTGAGGGAAACCAATTGTCGTTTTTCCTCTTATAAAACCCTAGGTTCGCCTCAAGTTTTATCACTTAACTCACATTTTTAGAGAGAAAAACAAAACTCTTGCACTCGCGAAATCAGTCTGTTCTTCTTCCAGTTGATGCGCACTCTTCGTTATGACAGGAAGTTCGTGCCCAACAGTCAAGAGGTAAGGAGGGCTTCTCCATCATTTTCTTCTATTATTTTTGTTAATAGCTTGACTTTACGATAATGGTGGGTGTGAACTACCTGGTAAGCTTACATGGTGCATATTTCTGGATAGTGGTAAGAAGATAACTTTTTTCTTTGTAAAAAGTGAGAACTTAGGGCACAGATTCTTCGGAATTCATTCCTAAGGGTTTTTAGGGTTTTTCTAGGGGTTAAGGAAGGTAAATTAGGGTTTCTTTTGCTCTTCCACGTCATTGTACGGAACACTATATGGAGACTGAGTTATCTCTGCATGTTGCCCCTTTTTCAGACTTTAGGAGCAATGGATGCTTCAGCGACTAGAGCAACCGAGGGGATGAGCTTACAGGCGCTGGGCACCTCAGCAGGTCCCATGTAAGAAGCATTATCAATGGCCACCTAAGACGAGATACAGAAAGCGGTGGACCAGTTCGTGCTTAGCGTGGATGTCTACCAGCATAAGACTTACACAACTCGGAATTCCCCAAAGGGAATGGCCGCGATCTTCAAGGTAATCTTTAAGTGTGGGGCATTGATACCTTTTCACCCCTTCATTAGATCGATCCTCGACCACTTTGAGGTCGCGCTATTACAATTGATGCCTAATGCATATATGATAGCAGTTGCTATGTATATCACATGTGGCAAAAATGGTCTTGGCGAGCTGACAAAGCTGGAGCTTGCATGCGCTTACTATATGAAGAAGAGTAAAGATAAATATTCTTTTAACCTCTCGAAGCGATCTATGATCGAGGGAGGAATATTTGGTTACCCCAGTAACATCGGGGCTTATGAGACCAAATATTTCTTTTCTGAATATGATGGTATTTGCCAATTTAGGAAGCCGAGTAGGTTTTCTTTTCATTTGATTCGCGAACTGTCCATTTTTCTTCAACTCTCCTTATATTTAACGAACTTTTTGTCTCTTTGCAAAAAATAAGACCACCAGATTGATGGCTTTGACAAACTTTAAGTGAATTATGACGTTCGGTCATCTACCTGTGCAGAGTTGCGACACGAGCTACTCGTGAGTACTGCCAACTTAAGAAAGTATGGTTTTTTTCAATCCGGAAGCATCTTTGGAACCCTTAGCTCGTAAGTATCTTCACACTTAGTCCCCATTTCTTTTGCCTAAGGTGACCTTTTCGCTAACATGCTTTCATGGTGCGCAACAACCATGCTACCTAGGGTTCTAAGGCCGTTGACAAGGACTAGGGGGTTTGTGTTTCCCTAGGTTGACCCAACCGAGCTAGCCGAAGTGATCCCCGACGATATCCCCACAGGAGGGATACAAATTAGTGTTGAAAGGTGAACACCCATGGAGCAACGTGGAGAAGCTTCTTGGCTCGCGGCTACTTGCGCCACAAGCAGAAAACTATGGGCCAGAAAACCAAGAAGAGGAAGCAGTTGCTTACCAAGGAGAAATCAGAGTTCGAGCCGGAGGGCTTCGGGATGCCGCCGTGGGGATCACAGCCTTACCAGGATTTTTGCTTGGGGGTGCCCCCGAGGAGCGTGCCTAGCACTTCAGCGGTCCCCAAGAGCTCGCGTAGAGGAGAGGGGGAAGTCGTAGTTTCCCAAAAGAGAGCGGGCCAGTAACGGGTCGACGAGGTGCCAATTCCTTTAGGATTAGACACGCTTGTGATGGATTCCATGGGGCAACTCCTGGAGCACCTGTAGCCGGTGGCGTATACTTTGTTGGAATGCCAACTGGTTGCGGCCTTCGAGGAGTTCGTGGCTTCTTGACCCGTAGACCTGGTGGCTACTGTGCTTCAGTTGCAAAGCCAGGTAAAACAGCTCGTTCTTGTCGAAGACTTTTAGTATCAGTTGGTTTTCTAACTTTTATGATTTTCGGGAAAAAGTAGGCTAACCCTTGTTTCTTTTCTCATACAGTCCCTGCTCGCCTTGCATATAGCCTAACAGAAGATCGATCTGGACTCTGCTGGAGGGTTCCACGAGCTGAGGGAAGAGAATACCAAGCTGAAATAGGACTTCGTGGCTTTAGACGTAGAGGTGAAATCAGTCCACATTCAGGCGAATTAGTACTTGGTAGAGAGAAATTCTGCCCTTCGCATAGTGGACTTCCAGAAGGTCGAGCTTGAGAAGAGAGGCGAGAAGAGCAAGGAGCTCCAAAGGGCAATGGCCAGACTCACCAGAGAGTGTGGCGAGAAAGAGAAGGAGCTAAAGGCGAACTTTGAGTGTGCCATGAAGGAAGAGGAAGACAGAGCTCAACTGTGGGAAAACTCTAAGAAGTAGAAGAGGGCTTTGGAGGTGGATGTCGAGCTGTTCCAAGGGTGAGTCACTTCATTAACCGAGCAAATGAAGCGGAAAAATCTTGAACTCGAGAGGAAAGCCGCTGATTGGGCAATACAGGCCATCTACAACTTGCGACCAAGGAATCCGGGGATGGACCTCTCTGACCTCCTAATGAATATCAAGACATCATTACTTCCATGGCCTAAGCTGATGATGCCGAGGAGAAACAGGGACAAGAGCCTCCTCCAGAGGATGACCAGTTGGAGGCATATGTCTTTGAGGACCCAACAGTGGATCGGACGATCGACGACCAACCAGCGGATATAGAGGTCGTGCCTGCAGAGCCTAGAGCTCGGGACTAGTGATCGCCTCTTCTGTTTTTGCATAGCTTTCCTTTGGACTCTTCCTCTTTTTCTTTTTATCTTTCTGTTGCCCATTGTACTTATTTTGACATATGTACAAGGAATATTTTCGACCATTTGTAAAAGCACTTCTGTAATTCGAGCACTTCACAAGACTAATATTATACATCTAATCAGGAAACTTGTAAAAATATTGTAACGAACAAGACTATTCAAAAGAACATGATACAAATATTCCTTCGAGATAAAGCAGAACAATCTTATTCATAAATATTATAAGGAAAACTTTACAAGCAAAAGAAATGAAAAAATTAAGAGCGAGTTCAGAATTACTGGTAATAGGGGTGAAGATGCTCAGTATTCCAAGCTCGCGGTACTTTGGAACTGTTAAGCCTTTTGAGGTGATACGTTCTAGGTCATATTACCTTAGCGATGTGGTATGGACCCTCCCAGTTAGGTCTCAATACCCCCGCACTTGGTTCCCTCATAACGAGAAGGACTGCTTTTAGAACCAGGTCGCCGACCTAAAAGTCTCTTCTCCTAACCTTAGAGTTGAAGAACCTTTTCACACGCTGCTGGTAGGATGTTATCCTTAACCGAGCCTTGTCGCGGTGTTCTTTAACTAGGTCCAGACTTGGCACGTAGAAGTGCTTCATTGTCTCTTTCATTGAATAGGTCTCTCAGTCAGCAACTACGTTTTCCTTACCTTGCTTGTATCAGATAATGTA